GCAGATTGTTGACAGATCTTCCACCAATCCTGACCCCACATTTCTCCTCATAGAGCCCAGCCTCCCGGATAATCTGTTCTGCATACAGATTGAAAAGGTATGGTCATATGTATTTACAGGGGGGGATAAAATAGTATACATAGGGTTCAGCACTGTCTGAAGTTAAAGGCATTCACCAAAGATTCTGGAATATATTGCCCCCCCCTTTTTTTCAATACTGATATATTTACAAAGTTTGAATACAGAGTTTCTCATACCGAATTTTTCCCATTTCCTTCACCCTCCCCCCATCAAACTGTGCAACCCTATGAGTAACACCATTACCACCCCTTGGATCCTCATACTCATTCCACTACAATAATGTTTTATATAGTATTTGTCCTTATGGGACTGAGTTAGTTCACGCAACATAATGCTCCCCAGTCCCTCCCAAGTTAGTAATTTACAAAATCATTGCTCCTGCATGCTATGTAGTATTCCACTGTGTGAATGTAGTATTCCATTGTGTGAATGTACCATAATTTCTCAATCCATTAGACTGCAGTTGGACATCTGGACTGTTTCCATGTTCTTGCAATGGTAAAAATACAGGGATAATCTTTATGACTTCATAATTTGACAATGACATCATATATATTGACACTGAAAGTACGACCAATAATAGATAAATTGGATTTCATAAAAATTAAAAACCTTGTGCATCAAAGGATAATATCTAAAAGTGAAAAGATAACTTAAAAAATGAGATAAAGTAATTGTAAATCATATATCTAAGGGTCCAGAACATGCAAAGAATGTTTACAATTTAAAAAAACAAACCAACCAATAGGCAAACAGCCCAATAAAGATGGGCAAGGTCTTGAAAAGACATCTGGAATAAATATGTTCCAAACATGACATACAAATGGTCAATAATCACATGTGAGTGCTCAACATTGTAAATCATTCTGACCCACTACCACTAATTTGGTTTCAGACTCATAACAACCCTGTAAGTCAACTGCTTCACGATGTCCAAGGCAATAAAAGCTTTTACAAGCAGGAAGTGCCTCATATCTCTGCTGTGAAGCTGCTGGTCAGTTCAAGCAGCTAACGTTTTGGTCAGCAACACAATTTCACTCACTGAACCATGAGGGCTCTTTCAAAAGCACAAACAGTCCATGGCCATCAAGAGATAACATTCAGTTACAAAGAGAAATAGAGTTCTAGTATCTGCTATAACATGAGTGAGACCTGAAAACATTATGTTAAGTTAAAAAAGTCAGATATAAAATGATGGTTCTACTTATATGAAAATCTAGACAAACGCATAGACTAAAGTATTAGTTATTAGTAATTACTAAAGTATTAATGGTTACCAGGGGTTGGAGGATGGGGAAATAGAAAGTTATTACTTAATAGGTACTGAGTTTCTATTTGGAGTGATAAAAACATTTTGGAAATAGAATGACTGCACAACACTGTGACGTTAATTACTATCACTGAACTGTACACTTAAAATGGTTAAGTGGTATATTCTGTTTATTCATACACACACACACACACACACACGTGTTTTCACCACAATAATGATTTTAAAAATCATCTAACTCCAATAATAACACTTCTTTATTTCTTAACTCTTATGAATACTCCTAAACCACTGAGAAATTATTCTACTTACTCTCCATCCACTTCTGGTCTTTTACATACACAGTGAAACTTGGCACCAAAGTCAATATAAAGATCATCTTCCACAATATGAAAGATCCGTCCAATGACCAGTTTATCCTTGGCAGGTCCCATCTGTGTAAGAGGCGAGTGTCTCAACAGAGATGCGAAGGATTCCACATTCTTTGAAGAGCCCTAAATTTGAAAATAAATACACACATGCATATAATTCAACACTTCAAAGTACACTGAAAAACAAACAAACAAACAAACAAAAGTACACTGAAACCAGCTGCCACCAAGTGAATCCCATCTCTTGCTGTCCTCATGGTGTTAGAACAGAACCACGCTGCACACAGTTTATGGCTATGATCTGTGAAAAGGAGATGTCAACAGGTCTTTGTTCTGAGGCATCTAGGGATGAATTCAAACGGCCAACCTTTTGGCTAGTAGCTGAATGCTTAACGTTGGTGCCACCTAGAGATGTCAAAAGTTATAATATAATGATATTTTAGAGGGAAAAAAATCACTAATTTTTTAAAAAAATGCATATTTACATTTTCCAGTAATAAAAAAATTAAGGAAGCTCTCTGCTGGCCAAGTCTGTAAAGTGTCATGCCACTAACCCAAAGGCCAGACATTCTGCAGAGGAAAGCTGGACAATCTCCTCCGGTGGGACCTACAGTTTTGGGAACCCAATGGAGGGGCAGCTATAGATTGGTTCCAACTTAACAGCAATCAGTGAAAATAAGAACATTTAAGTGGATTTGCACTTTATGGTGTGCTCTTCAACTTCCTCTTCCACGCTTCGTTCGGGATGGCAGGATGTATGGGGATGTGGTGGATCTTGGAGCCTGGGTAAGGTAAGGTGACAAAACAAGTGCAAAGGCTCCAGCATGGGGTGGGAGGGTAAGGGGAGGGCAGAGTGGGTGCATTTGAGAACATTTAAGGAGGGGACGGCCTTTACTGCTATACTATCCACAAAAAATGTCTTCTAAATAAGGCTTAGTGAGAGTGACTATGAATACAAAAGTAAAAGGGCATTAAGAGGCTTGCTTTCACCTTCCCACCCCGGGATGCTGGGGATTGGGACGGCTAAAACAATTTGGTGCAGCGCTCGGACTTCTGATTGGCTCCCTTTTGGCGTCGAGATGCCTAAGCAAGCTGGTGCCGTGAACAAGAACAAGGCTAGTGACAAGTCATGTGGCAAATAGAGGGTCGGCCACAAGGATGGTCACTGTGGAGCAGTAGGGTGGGAAAAGGGGTCCTGTGCTGGGAGAGATGCAATGAGCAGATATGTAGGAAGCATCTCCATTCTGGGTCCCAGGACAGACACCTTTAATCTCCATCCATACAGCTCCTGCTGCCTAATCCCCGCCTGAGTAGGGAGCGCTGCTGCCTGTCACCCCATTACCCAACCCTCTGGGGGTTGGATAGGTCTTGGGGTGAAATCTGAGCTCCTTGGCGAGGAGGCACTTGAGGGTCTTACAGAGACATGTCTGCTGACCTCCCTGGCCCCATCTCCCACACTTGCGGGTTAGCACCCCTTGTTCTAGCGGCATCTTCTCTGGAAGTCACCTTAGGTTCGCTCCTGTACTACTGCAGCTTGCCTCGCAGACTTTGGCAGGGCCTAAGAACCAGCTCGAGCATTGCCTCCTGGCAGCTTCCCCAGGGTCTCATTGTTGGGAGCCCTCTCTTTACCAGAATGCCCACAAGCAATTGTTCTTTCTCTCTTTCCGCAGTCCAAGCTCCCTTAGAGCAAGAACTCCATTATCTTTATTCACCTTTACTTTTGCTCGGGAAACATTACGACTAAACTTCAGAGACATTGATCCCAACATAAGGAACTACCATCAGCTGATGTGTTTGGAATCACAGAAGCCATGGAAGCCTCATATATAAGTTATTAGATGGAGGGCTGGTCAAAGGGAGATAGATGTGAAGGGAGGGGGTAGAAGTAGATGGGTATCCTGGTGGATGGTGGAGCAGGGAAATAAGTGGGTAAAGACGCGTGTGAGAAAGGCAGGGACAACAATGACACTAAAGTTAACTCCGCAATAAGGGATATGCGTTTAACTTGATGGTCTGTCTGATACTTCTCTAAATCTGAACATTCACATTAAGACAGACTAGGAAGAAGGATAGGCCATCCACTTCTGAAATAGCAGGCCTCTGAAAACCCTATGTACAACAGAACACATTTAGATAACAGAGGAGCGGAGTTTAGGGCTGTTGTACATAGAGTCGCTATGAGTCGCAAGCGACTCGACGGCACATAACAACAACACTCATGCATTACTTACCAGACTGCCCCAGTGTTAAGTCAATAGCTTTTAAATGACTAAGTTTCTAGCACAACTTCTTTCCTGTAAACCCCAAAAAGCCAAACCCACTGCCCTCAAGTCCATTCCAACTCAGCCACCCTCAGAAGGATTTCAGAAGCTGTAAATCTTTGTAGAGACCCCCATCTTTTTTGCTTGAAGTGCTGGGTAAATCCCAACTCAGATCTTTTGGTTAACCTGGAACACACACACACACTCTTCAACTTTAGTTGTGCATAAACAATCATTGATTAGCTCCTGCTGCATAAGACAAAGAAAGACAACTATTAACTAATCCCTCCCTGTACCTGAAGAATTGGAAGTGCAAAGCAGATGGGAGGAACCAGATTAAGGTGCGGAAGGTAGGACCAGGTCTTCCAGGACAGTAAGAGAAGCACTTTAGGGAGTCAATGAGAAGGCTACATGAGAGATTTGCTTTGAACCTTGAAGGAGGACAGAAAGAATTATAAAACTAGAAGCCAGACCAGCTTCCCTCAAGATGATTCTGACTGATGGTGACGCTGCCAGCTAGCACAGTCTGCCCTGGCCAGAGGATAAAAGCCAGAACAAGGAACCAGAAAGACCACTTCCTTCCCTGGGTCCAATGGCAGGGGATCCTAAAGGTTGTGTCACCATAGCCATCCACACCAAACCTGGCTCCAAACAAAATGCCATACTAGATATGACAACAGAGGCTGTAAATGCAGCCATCACAGCACCTCCATCAGAAGGTGAAGCCAACACCGAGCTCTGCCCATACCTGTCCAAGGTCTTAGAAGAGTGATGTGGTTTTGGATAAGGGTGGAAAGGCTCGTGAAAAACTGGTGAAGATTTTGGCCTCCACAACGCCAGAAGAAATCTTGAAGAAATTACAAAAGCAAGCAGAAAATAAATAGAAGAAATGAAAAATTTACTGAGGAACTTTTTATTGCTAATAAGAAGTTGTTAAATAGGAAAACATTTAAATACACAGAAAAACAAGGAACTGATTTTTTAAAAAAAATAAAGTTCCAGAAGAGTAAAAAAAATCATTAAGATAAAAAATTATTAAGAGCCCTTCATCAGAGTTATCTGTCTGAACATAAATCTTGTTATGTACTACTTTTAAATCACTTTGTCATAATTTTCTTTACCTTAAGGAAAAACAGCCTCTTCAATCTTTTTTGTGCTGCTAATTTTCTGGAGTCCTTTTCAATATTAAACTTATTTGATAATGAATAAACATATAGGTGGTATAATTATGCCTTGCAAAAAAAAAATGTTTCCATGCACACACTTTCTCAGAAACTTCTGAGTATAAATTTGCATCTACTTTTCATCTTTAATTTGTGTGTAATAAGGTATGTGTCCAGTTTGGGTCAAACTAAGTACTTAGTTACTATTTGATTTTACTTCTCCTTTGCTATTTGGAAAGAATTTATTATTATTATTATTATTATTCAAAGAATTAGTAAGTGTTTGATAGTACATTTACTTCATAAATTACAAAATTATATTTATGACAGGACAATTCCAATATCAACTATTCCACAGGTTACAAATATAATGCCAGGCTAGGTAGGAGTTTCATAAGAGCCTAATCTAAAGGTACAAATATTACTCAATTCCAGCTGTAACTCCAATTCAAGCACAGTGTTGCCACATCTTTTGGCTTTCTATATATTATGGAAAACATCTACTTTCTAAATGTTTTTTAAGAGAAAAGGTAGTTTTTCCTTTTGGAAAACTTATCTAGATGTTAAATGTGGCCCATGTCTCACGAGTTTTTAACTGTCTCAAGAATAAGTCAAATCTTTGGCTGCCATCAAGCCCTATGGATGCTAGAGAGAGGGAATGGGAATGAACTCCCAGCTGAAACACACAGTGAATGAATGAACCTTCAACACACAAAGGAGCATTCTAAACCAAAGGCAAAATAGTAGCTCTCGATGCCAAAGAGTAGCCATGAGTATTACAGCATGATCCGTCAGGCAAGCATTCTAAATCTATATGGTATAACATTAAGGAACCTTACCATAAGTACTTTGATAAAATAGTCATTTTTTTAACACAGTCTCCCTCCCACCCCCATCCACTTTACTATGTAGCTCTTATTCTGTACTCTTGTCATGAAAATAATACCTAATCATATATGCCTTTTAACCGTTTTCTTCTCATCTGTTTCAATGCAGTATATATTTCTTGCACACAGCCAAAGATAAAACATCTTACAGGTCCAACGCAGACACAGCTATGAACTGCCCTCTAGAGGCCGCGTACAGAGAGAAACAGTTCTAAGTAAGCGATCACTGACAGCCCCTCACGACAGCTGCTCTGATCCTCTACTGGAACCACCCCCTTTCCAGCTGCTGCCACCAAAACAGCTGAGAAGAGCACAGCTCAAGAGCAGAACAGATAAAGTATCAGCTCAGGGGTCTCCAGCTGCTTGGAAATAGGGAGGGGACAAAAGGAGGAATACATAGGGCTGAGCTTTTCTCTCTGGTACTCAAAAAATTGTAGCTTCTATTCAGGAAGTCAGAAACTTTGACTAAAAATCTTGACAATAACATGACTCAAGAGGAAAGTGAGTTAGATTTTTGAGAATTGCTCAAATTACTCAATATGATGCAATAACCACGTTTTGGTCTTTGTTGGACCTATATATGTATATAGCATATGTATATGATATCTGTATATACATAACTATATTTAAATATACAACTTACATAAATATCTGTGAAAATACAAAGCAAAATTTAAAGTCAACTAGCATAAATAATCTCAACATTTTAAAATGGATCATTTATTGACAAAACTAATAAAAGTCAGTTCGTTTTTGTTACATGCCATCTAGTCGTTTGCGACTCATAGCGATGCTATGTACAACAGCTCTAA